TGGAGAGGGCGGGGGCGGGGCCAGTGGCAGCAGGTGGTTGTGGGGAGAGGGGTAGGGAGGGGGCATATGGGGCACCCCATTTAGCATTTAAAATTTTGGCAGAGGTATGGGGGGGGTGCACCTCCCAATCCTACCATCAGTCCCCTATGAGTGGGGCTTTTTGTTGAGGGTATTTGGCAGTTCTGTCAAGTCACTGTGAATAACCTTTTTTTTCCCCCCTAACTGGTTCTTATTAGGGATGTTAAATATCAGTTAATTGAATAGTCAGTTAACCTCATGAATTTTTATAGGTTAGTTGACTATTCTATGGTCCCCGGGCAGCCCCTGTCGGCTGCCTGCCTGCCTCGCTCCTCATACACTTTAAATGCAGAGCTGAAGCAGGGGTAGATCCAGGACCCAGGGCAAGCCAGCACGGAGCTGGGCTGCTAGCCAGCCTGCTAAAAAATTTACTGGCAAGAGGTGGGGGGAGGGGAAATGCGGGCAGTCTATAGCATTAACCTCTAAGCTTTTGCTTATCGGTTAATCGACTATACTATTACATCCTTAGTTCTTATCTCTTATTTTTATTGTAGCGTTGCTGCTGACATTGGTTTTATCATCTTTTGTTGTTAGCAGACAAAGCACTGAATTGTTTTGGGGGATGAGCGCTCCCTGAAGGAATACAGTATTTTGCCAACAGAGCTCATCCCTCTTTCTCAGGGCTGGAGGAGTTTATTTTATTGTATGTTAATATATATTGTCATAATCTCTGTAGTTTGTATTTGCTTTTTTTTTTAATCAATAGTTGGTGTTATTGCTGTGATCTTAGAATAGGCCACAAAATCTAAATAAACGTTGAAAACAACTTTTAAAATAAGTTAGGGTGATCTGGAAGAGAAATTTTACTCTGCATAATATAGTAATTAGTGTAGAGTATTACTATTGTAATATTTTTAATAGGAAATGATAGGTTGGGTATTGACTCTGGTGCATAGATAGTCGTTTGTGCTGTAAGAGCAAGGATTGCTGAGATTTATTCCCGACTCTGCACTGGACTGTAGGCAAGTTCCTTAATCTCTGTGTCTCAGTTTCTTTCTGTGTAGCAGAACTAGTAAGACTTCCCATATCTCACAAAGTTTGTAGAGCATATTTTGTAAACCCCAATGAAATGCTAATTTACAATGTTGGACTTATTGTCTTCAATTGCAATTAGTTTCCTGTTTCATCATTTTATGATGAATTTGCATGTCTTTACAAGATTATTTATGTGGCTAAAATCCCTAGATCTTGCATTTTAATTTTTTAAAAAAATAAACATGTAATTCCATTTTTCTACTGTCATTCATTCATCCCAGAGAGGCATAAGGATCTTGCGGAAAAAGAGTTTTTTGCACAAAACCCATACTACCTGTTTTTGTGCAAAAACCCCTAGCACAAAAACGGAATGAAAGAGTATGCAAATGAAGCATGGGAAAATGCTAATCTGTGCTTCATTTGCATAGGCTTTTGTGGCAAAACTCATAGTGTATCCGTAACCTAACAGACTAACTCTGCTACCCCTCTGAAGCTTAATGTTTACTGTTTGGGCAACCCTGGTGCTGCTAAGTAGTTGGCTTTCTGTAGATGGAGTATTGAAATCACAACCACAGAAGAAAGTCATGAGTTCTTTAATGCCTACATCTACTTATTATGGCATGTTTTGCATGGTGGCAGAAAGCGCAATGGAGGATGCACGGAGAGCAATATTTAATTCACTTGTAAGGCTCTGTCAACACTTAGGCTTACTCTATACAATTTTTGTCATTCATGGGTGCTTAACAATTCTCTCCCCCAAAACCAAAATTTTGTCACTGCAAGGGAAAGTGTGAATGCTAATTTGTCAGCATGAACCAACAAAGCAAAACCCCCGGTCTTGTTGGGGGTAGATGTATTCCGTTGGCAAATGTGTGACAAACAGCATTCACACACACTGACTTTTAGCAAAAGGGCTGTCTCCACACAACCTGCCCCTAAAAGTGTAGACATACCCTAAGAAATGTTCCTAACAATTTGTAAGCTGCTGTGAGGTTCAGAGTGCTGTGGAAAATAAAGGGAGTATTTTTACAGGACTCACATCTGGTCAGAGCCATGAAGTATCTTTGCAGAGCTGTAGCCTGAGGTCAGGTCTGTTTAGCAGGCAACACCCTCTAATTTCAGTGACTCTTACTTCATGATTCTTTATGCACGTGCTACATATCGCCATTTCTTGGGGGTTTTCTATCCCTTGTAGTTTGCACTACTCTACTTATGAGTGTGAAAACGTTTTTTAAAAATTTAGATTTAAACGTTGCTCAACAATATTTCAATCCAAATACTGCAGCAGTGATGTAGTGCATGAGACTCAAAGTGAAGCTGAGTAGGTTAGTGTTGCCATTCTTATGTTCTTATTTGTTTCCCAAGTGTTCTTTCAGTGTATGCGTGCAGGCGTGTCACCTGAAAGATTAATAGTCCCTAGTAGTTCTATCAGAGCGGCATTATCTATTTCATTATTTAGAATGTGTAGTTGTGCTGTGTGAATTTACGGTCAATTAAATTGATTCTATTTCATCAATTCATCAGTTGTACCTTCTAAAACACTAAGACTACGTCTAGACTACGATCCTCTTCCACAAGAGGAAATGCAAATGGAGCGCTCATTTGCATAGGTCGAGCTCTCTTTTGCATTTCCTCCTCGGATCCCTTTCGCACAAGAGGCTTTTGTGCAAAAAAGCGCTGTGTAGATGGCTCCTTTTTGCACAAAAACCTCCTTTTGCGCAAGAACTGTTCTTTCTCAGAAAAGAAAAAGGGGAGAGTGTTTGCACAAAAAGGAGCCATCTACACAGTGCTTTTTTGCGCAAAAGCCTCTTTCACAAAAGGGATCAGAGGAGGAAATGCAAATGAGAGCACGACCTATGCAAATAAGCACTCCATTTGCATTTCCTCTTGTTTAAGAGGATCGTAGTCTAGATGTAGCCTAAGTTAAGACACCAGCAGTTGTACTTGGGAAATTTTAAATTTTGTTGGTAAGTTTATGGCAGTAAATGATAGTTTCTTTTGTTTAGGGACTTTAGAGTACAGTAAAGAATGGATTCGCTGGACCACATGCTGACAGACCCATTGGAACTGGGACCATGTGGGGAAGGAAATGGCACACGGATCATGGAGGACTGCATGCTGGGGGCAACAAGAGTTAGCTTGCCAGAGGACCTCCTAGAGGATGTAAGTAGTAATTAAGAACACTTTCCATTTCCAGAGTATTTGATAAACATAACTACTTACTCACCACAAAAGGAGGTTGTGGGTGTCAATCTCATTCTTTCAAGGAGGAAAGCCAAAGTAGTTGAGGTGTGGGGGGAAAGGGGGAAGGGAGGGCAATATCTCCAGATGATCCATGCCCTGCTGAAAAAGGCGGGGTTTGAAATCCACTAGGCTCAGTCTAGTTATCTTAACGCAACTGGAATTGCCCCTTCTCCCACCAACTGTATAGAAGTACTTGTAACAGATAGCGATTAAGTTATCTGATTGTGTTGTGCTCAGGTTCCATCCTAGATAACAACATAACTAGCCAAACATAATTTTAAAGGTTTTGAGTGGTGTTTCAAGTCATGTAGCTAAATCTATTTTAAAACCCCCCCTTTTTATGTTACTAGTCTGTTCTTTCTCTAGGTAACCGTAGTGACTCACTTCTCACATTTAATATTAAAATATCTTTGTTACATTTATACATCCTGCTTTCTCCCTCTCCATCTGTTATGAGTCCTCCTGATTGGAATCCTTAGACTACCATTTTCCACAGTTTGTACTAGACAGTGTCTTGTGACTTGTCTTTAATTCTACAAAGCCTTGGGAGAGAAAGATTTGTTAAAGGTGGTGGAAGGCATTTTGCGTCATTCTTATTTTTGTTTCCTTCAGCCTGAGATATTTTTTGAAGTTCTGAGTCTATCTACATGGAGGGAAGTGTTGACAGACTCCCAGCGGGACCACCTAAAAAAGTTCTTGCCCCGCTTTCCAGAAGACAACACAGAACACCAAAACAAGCTCATCCCAGCTCTGTTCAGTGGAGAGAACTTTCGCTTCGGAAACCCACTGCACATTGCCCAGAAACTCTTCCGGGGTCAGTGTCAGCTCATTCTACTTTTAACTTTTAATTTTTTTTTATTGACCATATAGCTGGTGAAAGATACCAGTGGACAGCAAAGGGGGTTTGAAGCTCTGTTTATCCATGGTCTTGGTATAACATGAACAGCCCCACATGCAATGTTTCAGATAAGCTGAGCGCTTAGGTGGATACCCAGGAGAGATTCAAGTGCCACTCAGCTGATTAGCAGCGAGTAGCATGTGTTTCTAGTTATGGTGCACATCCGCATATGCCTTAGTGTACGTAACAAAATGTATTCCACACATGGATGGAAAAAAGAGGGAATATTGCCCACACGTTGCTCTGACAGTGTGCTTTACTTCTGTCCTGGAAAGACTCTTTCCTCTCCCACCCCCAAAAAATCGGGAAAGATAGCAGTTTTGTCTCCTTGTCCCATTCAGTATCAGACCTGTCTGCTGATGCTCTCAACAAGGTATCAGCTAGTGCCTGCTGTGCTTTTATTTGTAATGTGTACACTTGTCTGCTGAGACATCCAGGATTCTTTCCTAGAGGACACTGTAATGTGGCAAGAACAGTTGATCTTCTGACCTAAACAGCAAAGCTCCAGATCTTGTGTCGTCTCTGAGAATTGTAATCTCTGGTGTTATACTTCATTTTTCAACAGCTTGTGGCTACTGTAGTGTCTAGATTATTTATGTAAAGAAAATAAAGTGCAGACTTTAAAAAAAGCTTTAATCTCAGCTTGTAGGTAAGGGAAGTCAAAACAATTTTTATTTTTTTTCTGCAGATGGACACTTCAATCCTGAAGTTGTAAAATACCGGCAGCTCTGTTTCAAGTCCCAGTACAAACGCTACCTGAACTCCCAGCAGCAGTACTTTTACCGACTGCTCAAGCAGATCCTTGCCTCTCGCAATGTAAGTTCCTCCAGGGTGCAGTGTGGTGGTTGATGCATTACACAATAGAAATGTAAAATCCCATCTAAAAATTTAACTGTTTAAATGTTAAGTTTAACCGGTGACCTGCGATCTCATGGACGGGGAACTGGGCTGTAGCATCCCCCGCCTGCCACATCATGTGGGGGTGGGGAGGAGATGACATTCCAGCCCTGCCAGAGTATCCCCCATCCACAGTGAAACAGCCTGCAGTGTGGCAGGCCTGATCCAGCTGGAACAGCCCCCTGCCCAAGGAGACCCTGTCTTAAGTAATTAGTGATTAACCAGTTAAACTCTGATTAAAATCAGATTTTACATCCCTTCTAAATACTAGCTTGCTGTTGGTTAGCTTTTAAAGAACTGGGTAGGTGATACCAGCAACCCTGTAATGATGGTATATGTTATACTTTTTAAAACTAATTAAATTGGCTTATAGGTGAATGTAAGTCACTCATATATCCCCACAAAGCTGGTCTCTGCACCCTAGATTCTTTCTTGTGCTGTACATGTCTGTCTGTTTACTTCAGCACCTGTTGGATCTGGCTAGGAAAGGTGGCCCTGATATGACCCTTAAGAAAAAATACCCATCTCCTCCATGTGGCCCAGAAGAACGGGATAGACGGACACATCAGCGTTACCTGAAGATTCTGAGGGAGGTGAAGGAGGAATGTGGAGACACCACCTTATCCTCTGATGAAGAAGGTAATATATCCAGTCTGTTACAAGAATAGTATGAGAAATTGGGGTGTGGTGGACTGAAAAGCTCTCTGCAAATTCTGGCACAGTGGAAAGCCTCTTTTGGCTTTGATGCCAGAAGTGGGCACAGTAACTTTCCCAGTTTTCTTGGAATTTTACTTGTTACTGGAGATTAATAAATCCATCCTCATGAGACTGATGGCTAAATGACAATACAGGCTCCAGCATGTGGTTATGGGTTCCCGTCCTCACCAGTGTGACAGTAAGCAATGGATACCATCTTCTGATGTACTTTACTCTTCGGTGGAAATGAGGTGCAGAGTTGAGTCAGGTTCCTAGTGGACAGGAGTGTACATCAAGGAAACAATCATCTTTATTTACACTTAAAGTTCTTATGTTTTTCCCTTTGTGTTTGTGCAGGCCAGGAAATGGGTGAACCCTAGGTCCTCCTGCTTGTGCTGGGGTGGGTAGTTAAACAGTTTGTCACTGGCATCAATGACACCTTATTTTTTTAGAGCTCTATACAAACTTCTATTGATAATTCCTCTCAAAACCTCTGCTTTTCGGAGTTAAGGATTGTTATCTCCGTTTATTTCAATTTCCCCCATCTATATTCATGTAAAAATGAAATGATATGGACAAACCATGCACTATATCTATGTCGTTCTTGGTCTTAGAGTTGAGACCCAACTACCAGACTAACTCTTAAGCCACTGTTCCTCTAATTCAGGTGTGGTTTAATGCCTGTCTAAATTGGCAGTCTAGTTGGTGGAAAGGAAGCTGCCACGGAATTGAGGAGATGGAGAGAGTCTTTTTGATAGGAAAGTAGCTATTGGATTCATGTTTCATTGGCATGGCTCCTATGAGCCATAGGGACATAGGCAGTAGGGTTTGGGGGCAGTATTCCCTGTAGAAATAACATTGAATTTACAACTTTTATTTTCTCAGATCTAAGTTCCTGGCTTCCAAACTCTCCAGCACATTGCCCAAGTCCAGCTCTTCCCCTCAGGGTGGTCCCCACATTGTCAACTCTGGATATGAAAACAGCAGGTGAGAACTGAGGTAGGGCTTACATAAAGTAGTCAGGAGTGCTTGTAACTACTTAGGCAATGCCTGCCCTACTATTTACGTTGGCATAACTTTTATCACTCAGGAATATGAAACATCCCCATCCCATGCATACACCATCCAGTGACACAAGTTAGTATAATGATGGCCTGAGTGGGAATTCTGGTAATAGGTTTTCTTGGATTTATTTCATTCCAGATAAACTTGACTTTGGGGACAGTGATCTGAAGATGATGCTGAAGAAGCATCATGAGAAACGGAAACGTCATCCTGTAAGACATCTAGGAGACATGGGGCTGGGGATTACCTCTTTGTTTTTTAGCTTGTCTGTCATCTGTAAGGTATAATGCAGTTATAGCTGATAAAATTACTGTAATTTCTTCTGGCTCTTTCTTGTTCAGTCCCTCTATCTTCCATCTCTCGCAGAGGCATAGCGAAGGAGGTACAGAAGGGGGGCAATTGCCTGCGGGCGCCACGCTAGGGGGGGTGCCGGGCCGGGGTGAGAGCAAGCGCACGCTGCACAGGTTCACCTGGCATGGGCAGCGAGTTATATGGCCGTCCCCCCAGGCCATCCCTGCTGTGTGCAGCGTTCAGTCAGCTCCCCCTTGCCCATGCATGCTGCGCAGTGTTTCCAGGTGACCAGTGTTACCGGATTTGCCCAATACTCTGGGGTATGCTCATTTATCAGGGTTACCCTTATGGGACTGGGGGAAGGTTAACAGTTCTATCAGTGTGCTGTTGGTGCTTACTTGGGCTCTCATATGGAGCTGAATTCTCCCTGCTGCCAATTCCCCCTCCCACTGGAGCTCTCCTGCAGGAACTAGGTTCCTCAGGATGGGGTTCTTACCACCTTGGCAACACACACAGACACTCACACCCACTAACAAAGCACGTCTGAGAGGACTGGGTACTCAGCACTCACAAGCTGACCCCCTCATATGTCCCTGGACTCAGCTGGCTGGAAGAGTGAGCAAAAGAGAAAGAAAGAGAGAGAAGCAACCTTAACAATGAAAGTGATTTATTTCTGAGTAGTGAATAGATATAAAATGTTACAGTATTAAATCTAAATTGAAACTGATTACTGATTAGGTACCCATATAACAGTTTACGCAGGGGAGGGAGGGAGAGAGACACAGACACAGACCTCACCACTCACCACTCCACGGAGCTTGCACTGATCGGGGTTCCGAGATGATGATTTTAGCCGGGGGTCCAGAGGGCAGGAGACAATCAGAACAGAGCTCCCAGCAGGATCAGACAGGAGATGAAGAAGTCTCAATGGAACTGATGCAGTTTAAGTCCAGGTATCAGAACAGTTTTCTTGGGGCAAGGACAGGAGTTTTTATAGGGATAGTTCAAAGAGAAAGAGGAGAGACAATAGAGACTGATCACCCCTGGTTATGGGTGATGTTCCTTGAAGGAGCTCACAATGCAACTAGGCAGTTTCAGTATTTTAGATGTCAGTAGGATCATTACTAGAATTGGTCTGATAATGACTAATCTGGGTGTGAGCAGGCCTAGGTTCATTAGCATCTGGAGCAGGGATTTCCCATCAGGCAGTGCTTCTCTGCTTTCGGTGTCCCATAGTTCTCTGTGGTTCCTGCCTTGGAAGAGCTGCTCTCCATTCTGTATGCTAATGAGATGTGTCTCTGTTCCATCTTTAATGCAAAAGAGGCTGGGGTGTTTCCTTAATTGTATCACCCTTGTCTGAAGCAGTTTAGGTGTGTCTTCCCCGGCCTTTTCTTTGCTTTGTCTTTGATTCTAGCAGAGGCCTGAGGGAGGGGGATGGTTTTCCATGAATGTCACTCCCTGGCTCCCCAAGAGCACAAGGCTGACAGGTGACCATGTTCTCGTTCCCCAAGAATCACAGAGCTGGTGGGTAACACCGGGGAGACACGCGGGCATGACGTGATGTCACGGCCCGGGACTTTAAAAGTGTTCGGTGCCACGTGGTGCCGGCCTAGCTTCCGGTTCGGAGTCCGGAAAAGTGGAAGGCAGAAGGTACGGCAGGGCAGGGGGAGAACTAGGGGGAAGGAGTGGGAAGGTGGAGGTGGAAGGGAGAGGGAAGATACAAATGCCAGGGGCCAAGTTCAGACAATGAGGAAAAGGGCAGGAAGGGGAGGTGTCAGTGGGAGGGGGGACAGGGTGATGCTGGGAGAGGAGAGGAGAGGGAAAGGGGAGGTGCTGGGAGAAGGCTTGAAAGGAGGGGTAGGCATGAGAAAGGTGGGGATGGAGCAAGTCGTGTGAGGGCACAGAGGGGCAGGAGGGGAATGGGGCAGAGGATGGTGAGGGGGTGGGCATCAAGGAAAAAATTTTCCTTTGCCCCATGGCGCATAACACCCTCGCCATGCCTCTGATCTCTTGTATCTGTTTCCTACTTCCAACCCCCTTTCAGTCCCACAGAGTCCAAACAGTTATAAGAGAGGTAATGGTTTTTTTCTTTCTCATGCACCTTCAGCTAAACTGTCTGCAAGGTATTGATTTCTGAATTTTTGAGGATGGAAGAGAGAGAATTCATCTAGATTTCCAGATCCCAGAATGTTGAGAGATCATGGGTTTGCAAGTATGGTACTTGAAAGCGCCAAGACTGTTCTAAACTGCTGTTTGACTTGGGATGCTAGGGAGAAAATAAATCTGGAAACCCTGAGGACTTTGTCACTTATCCAATTGTAACCACAATTTAACCTGTATCATGCTTTACAGTTTACCCTTCTGGGGTTTTTTTTATGCTGATATTGCAGAGGTCTCTTGGAACTCATCTGTGATGTGTTATGGGGAGACTAAATGCTGTATGTGGGCTGTATAGTTAAGAAATTTCCTTGGTTCTCCTTTAAGTTGAGTTTTTGTAGACAGTCCACAGATCAATTCTAGGTATTTCAGTCTTGGACTGCCATGACCTCTTTAATTTAACACCCTGCCCTTTTTCTCCTGTGCCTCTTTCTCCAATCCTCTTTGTCCTGTGTAGGATCACCCTGATCTAGTGGTAGGGGACCTGACTCTTGATGACATCATGACCCGTGTGAATGCTGGCCGGAAGGGTTCTTTGGCAGGTCAGTGAGTTGGATGAAGTGTTATCAGAGGAATATGCCTCATAGACTTTCTGTTGCTGCAGCTCTCAAAATGATGGACACCTACACTCCTTCCCTTTTGAACAGTACAGTTTGTCTGTTACCAGTAAACAGCTCAAAATATTAGCAAAAATAAACGTATCTGTAAATTTGGGCCAGGAAAAATTTCCTTAATTAAACTCTGATTAATTCCATGATTACTTGGTATGCTAGTGAATCCTAAATAATGTAGACAGGAGATTATGTGCACAAGACAAGCTGAGGGTAAACTTGACACATTAGATACCTAGGTAAATACGTCATTCCTCCCAGTCTCAAATGCCACCTATTTTTAAACACCCTTCCCCAACGGAAGAGTTTCTCTAATCAAAAGTGGTACATTGAGGAAGAGGGGAATTTCCCATAGAATCCCCCCTCAGGTAAGGCAGAAAATTAAATAAATTCCCTATTTGTATTGACTGCTTATCTTGCAGCAATTTTGAACAAGCTACTGTTATATGGGTGTGTGCTATACAAACCCTATAAAGATATTAAAATAGTCACTGTCTCCAGAAAAGGTAATCTAGGTATCAGTGGAAAAATTTGGTTATAGAATTAAATGCATGTTAAATATATTTCCAAATACATAATTGACTATCTAGTTCAATTCTGAACACTACTGTTGTATTCTGAAATGTTTCTCTGAGATTTGTTTTCTCCTTTTCTCTAAAGCCTTGTTTGACCTTGCCCTTCTGAAAAAGAAGGTGAAAGAAAAGGATGAAAAGAAAAGAAAAAAGCTGAAGGTGATTAAATCTGAGGTGGAAGATTTGGCTGACTCCCTTAGTAATGCTGATGGGATCCCACCAATATCACAGGACCCGTCCCCCATTCCTCTGTCAGCTGTTAAAGAAGAGTAAGTGGTTTGGAGGAAAGGGAATATGGTTGTGTCTGTGTTAGAGACAGGCGATATCTATACTACATGCTAAGGGCATGGTTTCCAGCTCTCACACTCTCACTTGCATGAGCTTGTTGAGAGCTTGCAGGAGTAGAAGTAGTAGTACAGCCGCTGTAGCATGGACTGCACTGTCTTGGCTAATTTCACAGTGGAGATGTAGCCACAGCTCAGGGAAGGTGGTGCAACTGCCAGTTATTTTTGAGGGCATCTGCTGTGCTTAACTTTCATCCAGAATGCGGTTTTGACTGTGATGCGGTTTCAAGCTATTTATATATAACTACAACGTTCAGAGAAAATGGATAAAAGGGGTGGAAAAAATCCCTATCAGAAACTCCAAAATAATCCCCTAAGTATCCCATTACAGGAAGAAAGCAGATGGTACAGCATAGACCAGGATTTGAAAATGCAACTCCTGCTGTATTTGCATTTCATAGCAGTCCCACTGTAGTCAGGTTGGGGATCCCACTTACAACATGATTAAAAGTTGCGTTGGAAATAGGGCGCTGTGAAAATTTAAGTTCATTGGGTCCTTGGGACCTTATATCTGAAATACGATGAGTCCATGTGGTAAGCCAAACCAGGAGCATTCTTAGGTACACCTAGTCACAAAGCTTCTACTGTCAAATGGTGGGTGGGCTTAAGTAGATTTGCTGAGATGCTTTTGCAAAGCTCCATCCAGTTTCTAGAAGTGGGGTAGATACAGGTGCTGTGGCTCAGGACTGAGGATCATCACAGAGTTATGGGATCCTGTTTAGTTGGTTAACTAAATCAGGATTTTACGTCCTTAGTCTCCTTTAATTATGAGCTTTTGCCCCCTTCTAGGTTTGTTGGGAACCACAAAGGAGGTTGCTTGCCTCTGCTCCATGCAGCTTTGTAGTGCATAAGCTTATGTAATTATATAGTGTTGATTCTCATTTTTGTGTGTGTATAAAAATTTTTATTAAATCCAAATTATTTAACATCTTGTGTGTTTCTTAATTCAAAGACCTCTTGACGAGATCAAACCATGCCTTGGAGTAAACGAAATCTCGTCTAGCTTCTTCTCTCTCCTTCTGGAGATCCTCCTTTTAGAGGGGCCTGCTAGTCTCTCTGTGGTAAGGTTCTACTAATTTATTGGTCTTCTAAAAGTCTTTCTAGACTCAGCAAAATTAGGGAATTTGTTGCTTAGTTACACATAACAGTGATTTCCCCACAGTCAAATGTACAAGCCTTTAGATTCCTGTCTTGGTTTTAAACATGGTTCATAAACTCAGGGGAAGTGAATTCTTGTACCATTCATATGACATTTTGAACCTATCTGACTGTAAAACTTTTTCTGTCCTCTTCTTCCTGTTCAGATATTAACTACAAATGAGGAGGTGTAAGAGCTTTCTCCTCTGCAGCTTCTCTTGTCTGACATACATGCCTAGTCAAAGCTGTGTGTGTGTCTTCTCAATTCAGCTGCTCGCATCTCTTTTCTTTGACAACCTTTCTGTCTCTGCTGTAGATTATTAAATCTTGATAGTGTGAAGGAAAGATACTATAAATCAGGGGTGTCCAAACTTTTTTCAAAGAGGGCCAGATTTGATGAAGTGAACATGCGTGAGGGCCGACCATTTTGCCTGACATTCTTTGAACCATTAAAATTAAATGCAAATTAACTATTTTATGCAAAGTTTATTGCAAACGGCATACTTTTCATTTCGTCACATGGATGACAAATCTAAACAGGTGTTAAATCACTCTGCCTTTCATATCTGAAGGCCAGATGAAAAAAAAAATCCAGGAAGCTGAAATATATGTCAGGAACATTGTAAAGTACATTACATATTATTGGTAATAAAGGTTGTCTGTCAACTTTTAAGTTCAAAAAATATGAACAGGAACATAACACCAAGTATACATGTTGTGTCCAAATATATTTATAACTGATTTAGACCAACTGACATTAACTGAGATTTTACAATGTATTCATCTCAATACATATGGATTCGTTGGGGGCCATAAAAGATAGATATTGCCAAATTTCCTGGGGGGCCGTATTAAACTGGAACACGGGCTGCAATTGGCCCGCGGGCCGGACTTTGGACATGCCTGCTATAAACGAATCTTGTTATCTTTTTTAGCTTGAAGATAAAGTTCTGGATTGGCAGTCTTCCCCTGCAAGCACTTTGAATAGCTGGTTCTCCTTTGCCCCTAACTGGTCAGAACTGGTTTTACCTGCTCTGCAATATCTGACAGGTGACAGTAGAGGTAAGACTTCCCTTATTCAAACTCCAGTACAAACAAAATTACTGTTTTAAATCCGTGCTGGTCCGTGTATTAACCCCAGTCAGTGGTTAATTCACAGAAGCACTGATTCATTGCCAGTGTTGCTTGTACCTCTGGAAGATGTTCTTTGTTGCAATTGTTTTGTATCCTGATACCACAGTGCTTGGGATCCAACTTGGTTCCTTATCTCTTTTGTATGTTGAGCTGAGTGCTGGTGAAAGGTGCTTGAAAGCCCTGGTAACTGAAGTTCTCTTATTAGCCACAGAAGAGGTACCGCCTGGATAGTGGCAGTACACACTTGTTCCATTATCTGCCCTGCCATAAGATCACAACACCTGGGGCGCAAAAGAGAGTTCAAGCTTAGAGACCCATCAGGCTTCCAGAAAGGGAGCTGTTACCATCACTCAGGATGGTGGTCTTTGCAATGTGGATTCTTCTCTGGGAACTGGGCTTATGTCTCCCAGATTCAGTGCGCATCACCCCATCGGACAGTCACTTCTGGTCTCTCTAATTCTGAACAGGATTTAAACTGACAACCTCTAGGAAAAGGCTCAGTATTCTGTTTTGAGCTGTTGAGATATCCACTGTCACCCTGAACTGCCAACATGCCCTTCTTCAACTCCATATTTAGAGATGTAGTGACTTAATCGGCTAGAGAGCTTTGTTTTTCGTTGTGATACTAACTGCAACTTGGAAGACTAACAGAAGTTTGCTTGCATGCCTTTGTAAGGCCTTTGTAGAACACAAGCATGAAGTGCTTTTTTTTTCTCTTCCATTGCAGATGTTCCTTCTAACTTTTCCCCTTTTGTTGAATTCAAGGAGAAAACTCAGCAGTGGAAATTGCTTGGTAGGTAACTTGTTCTATACCACATTATCAATAGTTAAGATCAAATGTTTTCTCCAGGCATTTCCTTTCCAGTTTGCTGCAGCTTGGAGAAATGAGAAGATCAGCTATTTGGTACTCTGTCTACTGTTAGCTATGCAAAGGGATCTATAACTTGGCCTTATAAAAGGGCAGTTTTGTTGATGATATCAGTAAAGACTCAAAGATATACATGGTACAACTATGCAGAGGAGGTGGCCAGAGAGGATGGGATACCTTTCTTTGTGTTGCTGACCTTCATGACCATCTTCTGAGTGTGACTAAAACCTCTTTCATGGTTGCACTTCTCTAGTACCTTCCTCCCAAAGATCTCAAGATATTCTGTAGACAATTAATTACTCTCCTCAGTCCTCTGTGAGGCAGGTCAGTGTTGTTACAGGGGAGCTGAGGCATAGCTTGATAGAGGCCCAGGGTAACAGTAAGTAAATGGCAGAACCAAGAATAGGGCCCCAAATCTCTTGACATATAATTCTGTGCTCTAGCCACCAAGCAAAACCTCTAGTCCTTAACCACAGTGATTCTTGCTCATATTTACAGGCTTAAACTGATTGTGAGCTTTGGACTCAGGAAGGTATTCCTCAGAATGTTGGTGTGGGAATTTTCTGCTCAGGGATTGGGAGACTGGGGTTCACTTCCCTGGAATTCACTTGGGGCACTAAGTAAGGATCATCCGTCACTATCAGGTGCACTTATCCCACACAATCTTTCCTGCCATTGCTGAAGTTGGGGGAGTTGGATCTTGGCCATTCTTGTTTTCCATTGCTTATACTGAACCCACATATGGCATATCTAGGGCGTATGTGTTCAACTTTTGCGTAATCATGATATGTATGGAGAATGGCTTATGTATACGTGGAACTTAACCTAGAGCTGAATGAATGCAGAGTAGGGGAGAGGGTGGGAACTGATTGGAATGTGCAGGAAGGAGGGTGCTGGCTCCATAAAGAGTAATGAAGTTCTCTGAACTGTTTTCCCTCTTGGATTTTAGTACCAGGCTCTTCCCAAGACCATGAGAAGGAACTGGCAGCGCTCTTCCAGCTCTGGTTGGAGACCAAAGATCAGACGTTTTTCAAGGTGAGGCATTCTCTTTTCGTAGTACAGATGCTAGCAGGGCTGTAGTGCAGATAGCACTCAAGCTGATGTTTCTCTTTGTTTCTTGACAGGAAAATGAGGACAGCTCAGATGCCACCACACCAATTCCCAGGGTGTAAGTATGTAGCAGTGAGGCAGCCTGAAAGGCTGGGCCTGGGATGCATGCTAAACCTGTGGGGATAAGTCACCAAGCCTCTGGGCATGAGCCTCTGCTTCTGGAGCATCCACCTGGTGTCCTCTTTCCACATAGCCAGGGTGTGTGGTAATGTCTTTACTGATGAGACAAATAGCATTTATCCCCAAGTCTTGCAGAGTCAATATAGCCCCAGGAGTATGAGCTGACTTCTAGGCTAGCTTCAGTGCATTTCTGACCATAGAATCAAAACCACAGGTAGGCTTCAGATCCCAGGAATTTTTTGCCACAGTAGGAATTTCGTCAGGACAACAATTTAGAGGCAAGAAACTAACTGTTTCAGTTAGATGGGAGATTCTTCTTTGTTTTCTGTTGTAGATTTGTGTGTAGCCTGACTGTGCTTTTAGACAGATGCTGCATTCCTTTCTAGCAGCAGCATGATAGTTCCTGTATTACATAACGCAGAGTGTCATTAACAGCTTTTCTCTCAGTCTCAGAGCTCTTTGTATTTTAAGAAATTTACCTCACAGGGCAGTTGAGCTAAGTACAAATAGTGACTCTCAAATGGAGGTACAGAGAGATAAAGTGACTTTTCCTATAGAACTGAAGATAAGCTTCCTGGCTTCCTATTCTAGCCGTTAGGTGCTGCTGCTTTTCTGTAGATACAATCTAGAAAATGCTTTGAGATCCTTAAAGATGAAAGGCTCGGTATTAATGTAGGTTCATTCAGAACGTGTTCTTCGAGAGAGACATCCCTAGGGGTGTTCCACAGGAGGTGTCTGTGTATCCCAGGGCCACAAACCAGATTCTTCATAGCAGTGCATCGAGGCTATGCAGGCACCCTCCCCTCAGTTCCTTCTTACTGGCTCAGTTCTTGAACCAGGAACTGGCTCAAGACAGACCTTGGCAGTGTTCTCCATTTCTCATTAGCATAGTAGATAAATATTTGAATTCCTGTTCCAAGTTCTTCTCCCTAGTTTATATCTTCTCCAGGTTCTCCCCCTTAAAAAAACCACCAAACCCTCTGTTCATTTACTCCAAGTTGCTCTTCTGCCAGTTACTGTTTACTGCAAGATGCCGGGGTTAATGGGCTTCAAGTGCTGTTCAGCTTGCAAAATGCCCATCTAGGCATTTTACACATTTAGTATGTCTGTCGGAGGAAAGTCCCATGTCCAGCAGAACCGTCATCACTGTACCAAATTTAAGGTGCAAACACGGAGAAATAGGTACCTCCATTCGAAAATGATTATGCTCAAAAAGGCACAGCGTCCCTCTTCTGACCCTGGTACCCAAGGGACTGCCAAGACTAAAATCAATAAGAGGGGAAAAATCCCCAAAGGGACATGTCTCGTCTTTACCTCACGACGGGCAGTTGTCCAAGCAGCACACAACTGAAAAAATTAATGCACAGGGCTGAGAAACTGTCGTGCCTCAGCACATATGATGCCTGGGCACTTCCGGTGCCAACTGGAGGCACATACGGAGGCTACAGGCCTTTCAGTGCCTGTCTCACCGGTCTTGGCATCTAATAGGTGCTGATCAATGCAGCCCCTGAACTTGCAGCACCAAGAATGGTCAACACAGCACTGCAGCAACTGACAGTGCAGTCTTTAACCCCCTCCTACCATTTCAAGATGTTGCACCTACTTTGACAACACTGGCAGTGGCAGCAACAGCACAGTTTCTGGTACTGAGCACGGTACTGAAAGCTTCGGTACCGTCCACTCCCGTGCCTAGTTACCTACATCAGAGGGACCTCGCAGTATCATCAGCTTTTAACTCTCTTGTTCCTTGATACAGACAAGTTAGCTTACTCAGCATATCTCATCGCCTACTTAATTATCTAGTGATGACGACGATGAACGGGTCATTTTCATCCCAGTTATCACCAGGCACCGAGATATCAGAACTTGTCAGCCAGCCTTATGCAACCCATCGCAGCAGGCATGCCCCCCCTGGGGCTCTATGCCCTTAGATGCCACCACCTATGCCTTATCCAGTGCAGTGACAGTATTGGAGCCCATGGGCTCATGACTACAAAAAGAGACAAAGAAGAAACATACTCAGCATGCACTTTCTCCTACACCCCAATCCCCATAATGCTGCAGAGGGAGCAACAGGAAACCACAGTTCTGCAGCTTGGGTCTGGATACATCCTTAGACACACATTCATCTTCCTAACAGTGGCAGATGACTTCACTTCCTTTCAGGATCTTTTAAAAAGAGTAGCAGCCAATCTTAACATCTCCACGGAGGAGGTGCAGGAGCTTTACCAGTATTCTTCAGGCCTTGCCATCGACCAAGATCGCCTTGCCTAACAATTCAGCTGTCATGAAACCTGCCAAAACTCTGTCACTATTCCCCAACTTGTAAAAAGGCAGATAGAAAATACATTCCCCCAAAGGGATCAGAATTCCTATTCACACCCCCTTCACCAATCTCATTGGTGGTGGACTTTGCCTATCAAAGGAACAAGCAACAATAATCCCATTCCGCCCCAACAAAAGACAGCAAAAGACTCAACATGTTTGTCAGGAAAGTTAACGCATCATCCATGCTACAGCTCAGAGTGGCCAATTTATACTGCACTCCTCAGTAAATATGATTTCAACAACTATACAAAATGTCATAGCTTTATTGATGACATACCCAAGGCAAAACAACAATTCAGAGCGGTTATTGCAGAAGGTCATGTGCTGTGATATGAACAGCTCTGCAAGCTGATCTTGATACTACAGATACAGCCGCCAGAGCAACAGCAACTGCAGTTGTGATGACAGGAGCTTCCTGGTTCAATTTCTCAGCATTCCTTGTAAAATCCAACCAACTGTCGAGGATCTGCCATTTGAGGGTGAGAAATCCTTCTTGTCCAAAACTAATGAGGTCCTCCACTCCATGACAGACTCTTGAGCAACGCTCTGCTCCCTTGGCATTCATACTCCTGTAATGAGGAGGCAATATAGATACCAAGGTACCCGCCCCACACCCAAAGGCAGGATCATCCACCACACCAACAACGCAGTCACGGGAGGCAGCAACATAGACGTAATCATGGCAGCACCACCAACCAGCTGCCCCAGCCTAATAAGCAAATTTGAGCCATCCGACTTATGAGGAGAGGCTGAGGGAGTTTGTTCTGTTTGGTCTGTTGGGTCTGTTTAGTCTGGAGAAGCGAAGAGTGAGGGGGGATATGATAGCAGCCTTCAACTTCCTGAAGGGAGGTTCCAAAGAGGATGGAGAGAGGCTGTTCTCAGTAGTGACAGATGGCAGAACAAGGAGCAATGGTCTCAAGTTGTGGTGGGAGACGTCCAGGTTGGATATTAGGAAAAACTATTTCACTAGGAGGGTAGTGAAGCACTGGAACGGGTTACCTAGGGAAGTAGTGAAGTCTCCATCCCTAGAGGTGTTTAAGTCCCGGCTTGACAAAGCCCTGGCCGGGTTGATTTAGATGGGATTGGTGCTGCCTAGAGCAGGGGGCTGGACTTGATGACCTTCTGATGTCTCTTCCAGTTCTATGATAAGGGGATGGTTTGAGAACATGATCTTGGTAACTAATTGACCATTCATTATCAGTGGGTAATAGGTCAATGGAGGGATGATAGGAGTTACTATAGAGAACTTTCTGGGTGGCTGGCTGGTGAGTCTTGCCCACATGCTCAGGGTTTAGCTGATCGCCATATTTGGGATCGAGAAGGAATTTTCCTCCAGGGTAGATTGGCAGAGACCCTGGAGGTTTTTTGCCTTCCTCTGTAGCATGGGGCACAGATCACAGCTGGAGGATTCTCTGCATCTTGGGGCCTTCAAAGTATTTGAAGGCTTCAATATCTGAGACATAGGTGAGAGGATTATTCTAAGAGGGGTGGGTGAGATTCTGTGGTCTGCACTGTGCAGGGGGTCAGACTAGATGATCATAATGGTCCCTTCTGACCTTAAAGTCTATGAGAAAGGGATCTAGGGGTCATGGTGGACTACAAGCTTAAATATGAGTCGTCAGTGTGATGTTGTGGCAAAAAGAGCAACTGTGATTCTGGGATACATTCTGGGGTGTGTTGTGAGCAAGACACGAGAAGTCATTCTTCCGCTCTCCTCTGTGCTGATTAGGCCTCAGTTGGAATATTGTGTCCAGTTCTGGGCACTACATTTCAAGAAAGATGTGGAGAAGGGCCAGAGAAGAGCAACAAGATTGATTAAAGGTCTAAAGAACATGACCTATGAAGGAAGACTTAAAGAATTGGGCTTTTTTTTTTGGAAAGGAGAAGATTGAGGGGTTTTCAGGTATCTAAAAGGGTGTCACGAGGAGAGAGAGAGAAATTGTTTTCCTTGATCTCTGAGGATAGGACAAAAAGAAATTGGCTTAAATTGCAGCAAGGGAGGTTTAGGTTGGACATTAGGAAAAACTTATTAACTATCAGGGTGGTGAAACACTGGAATAAGTTGCCTAGGGAGTTGTGGAATCTCCATCTCTGGAGATATTTAAGAGCAGGTTAGATAGACATCTAGCAAGGGATGGTCTAGACATTATTTGGTCCTGCTATGAGAGCAGAGGACTGGACTCGATTACCTCTCAAGGTCCCTTCCAGTTCTTGTGTTCTATGATTTTATGAGCCAATCCATACAGTTCATTAGAGCACAGCTTGACTCCGCTTTGGCCATAGCTTCCCTACTTCATGACAAATTCTTAAAAATTTGCAAGCTAGTCTGAGCTCTGCGCCTAATGCCATGTGTCACAGCTCACGACTGTCTCCAACTTTTAGGCCACATGGCAACCTGCAATCCTGTGGTCCTGAGCATGTGTATTTTCATGAGATGCCTTCAGGGATGGCTCTGATCAAGCTACACCCTCTAACCAAAACCCGTCCATTCCCCACGCAGTAAAAAGTGAAGTGTTACGGTGGCCAGGACAGAAAACTCATGCAAAGAACTTTTCCAAACTCCAGAACCCACTGTGGTCATCACCATGGATGCCTCCCTTATGGGCTGGGGAGCACACCTGAAAGATTCCATGACCCAATGCCTATGGACCCCAAAAGAGGACCCTACACATCAATGTCCTTGAGCTCAGAGCCTTACGTCTTGCATGTCAACACTTCCTATCTCACATTTTCAGAAGACATGTCAGAATCTATACGAACAACACTGCCTGCATATTTTTATATAAACAGACAAGGTGGGGTACAGTCCCATGCCTTATGCTGTCGCCCTGTGGAACTGATGCCTGACCCATGCTATCTCCTTGATGTCCAAAACACCACTGCTGATGCGCTAAGCAGAGTCCTATCACGGGACCACAAGTGGCAGATAGATTATTCAGTCCCCTCTTGTTCCAGGGTGGGAATGGGAAAAGACTTACTGAGATCTTCAAGTGGAATCATCACCTACTGTTTGCATTCCCTCCAATTCCCCTCCTCAGCAGAACAGTTGTCAAAATATTGAGGGACAAGGCAAAGGGTCATCCTCATAGCCCCTTGCTGGCCTTGGCAACTGTGACTTCCCTTCCTGAAGAGAACGACCCTATGTTGCCCAATCATGCTCCCATGGAACCCTAGGATCCTGTTCCACTTGGGACCCAAGTTCTGCACCTACAGTTTCTAACACTGCACCTGAAAGCTTGGTACTTGGGTGATTCTCAGAGATAAAGCTACAATGCTTAGCCCTGATACAAAATGTGCTCCTCCACAGCAGAGCCCCTTCAACACACAAGACATATAGGAACCAATGGTCCTGTTTCATTCACTAGGTTACTCCCTGCAACATAACTCTGGAGACAGCCCCACTATTTGCAATATTGGACTACTTACTGTACCTTAAACAATCCCATCTCTCCATCAGCTCAAGTAAGGTACACTTAGCAACCATCACAACATTCCATACAAGGATTGATGATACCATGATCTTCACACATCAAACGCTTCCTAAAAGGCCTACAAGCATTATAACCTGACATAGCTACCCCACAGACACCATGGGACATACACTTGGTGCTTAAAACACTCACTAAACCTCCATTTGAACCTATGGCCACATGCTCCCTTCTTCACCTAGCTCTAAAAACAGCATTCCTTGTAGTGATAACATCAGCCCATTGAATAGGAGAGATGGCTGCCTTAATGGCCAATCTGCCATATGCTATCTTCTTTAAGGATAAGGTCTCCCTACAGACCCATCCCAAATTTCTACCCAAGGTACACACCACGTTCCGCGTCGATCAAACTGTCCACTTACCTGTATTCTTCCCCAAACCTCATACCAATACCCAGGGCTTGACAAACGGTGGCGAAAACCGCTCGCCAGCCCCGTATTGCGCATGCGCAAGAGCTGCATTGCACATGCGCATGCCACGGATAAACGGGACGTGCGGCTGAAATCTACTCGCCACAGGCGTGTAGATTGTATTTGTTGAGCCCTTCCAATACTTTTGCAACCCAAATGCATACCCTCGATGTACGTAGGGTACTTTCCTTCTACCTCCATAGAACAAAGCCCTTCAGGGCATCCTCTAAACTCTTCATCTGCATCACAGAACGCAGCAAGGGACACCAGATGTCATTCCAAAGACTGTCCCACTGGATCTCAGACTGCGTCAAAATTTGCTATCACCTAAATCACCCCCACCTACTCAATTTGTGCCTATTCTTCCAAGACTGTAGCCACGTCAGTTGCTTACCTGTGCAAGGTCCTATTAAAAGACATATGTGCTTCTGCTACATGGACACCAGACCAAACATTTGCTAAACATTACACACTATCCGCTGGCCCTCTTCACTCCACAAAGGTAGCGAAAGGTGCTCCTGACAGCAGCTTACCTGCCTGATCCAAAGTCCCTATCTCAATAGGGCATGTTGCTTTGCAGTCACCTCCTTTGGAGCACCTTCTGGGATGTGTCTTGAAGAGGAGGTTACTCGCCTTTGGCAGTAACTGACGTTCTTCAAGATGAGCAACCCTGGGAGTGCTCCACTACCCCTACTGTTCTCTCCTCTGCTTCGGACCCATTTTCTCTATCAGGCTAGGTTCCAGATAGAGAAGGAACTGAGTGGGGAGAGTGGCCCCATGGCACCTGCACACCTCTACAGCCCCCATGCACTGTTATGAAGAATCTGGTCTGTGGTGCTGGGATGCACCGACATCTCCTGTAGAGCACCCCCAGAGATACTTATCTTGAAGAACATCAGTTACTGCCAAAAGCGAGTAATTCCTCTTCTTGTGTGAGGCACATTGGTAGATAGGCAGAACTCGTCACACACAGCCTGATACCCTTTCAACCTGTAATTTGACTCTAGTCACTGAGGACTGACACTAATCTTTGTTTCAGAAGGACTGACTACGTGGTCCGTCCTAGCACTGGGGAGGAGAAACGTGTTTTCCAGGAGCAGGTGAGGGAGAATCCACTCTTGTTTCAACATAGATCTGCCTCCAAGTCAGCTTACAAGTAGGATAATTTAGAACAGGAGTCAAGTATCTGCTGTATACCACTGACAGTGAAAACAGAAGTGATTGTAATATAACTGTACTGCCTTCACACAGGCTTCACAGCTTCTGGTGGAACCATGTTGCATTGAGAACAGACCCCAGCACTTTCAGTTCTAAATACCTCAGTGCTTCTCCCCTCCCCACCCCCCTTAAGATAAAGGAGAGAATCTATTTGAGTCATTAATACTAATGCTTACATACAGGTCAGATGGTGACCTAATCAGTATTCTTGAGCAGGTCTCTTCCATCCAGTTGAAGGCAATGGAGCATGCAGGTGCATGCTGGGAAGTCTCTCCATAGCAGACATTTGTAGAAGATGTTGGTTTCAATGTATCTTACAGGCTGGTGGTCCATTAAGGGCCAATACCTTAGGAGAATTTCTCTTCACCTCTTTCCTCCTATTCAGTGTTTGTTCAACAGTGTGATGTGCATGAAAGGGGTGGACTATGTCCTTTACTTTGTCACTTCAGTTGTGAAGGATTGGTGATGTATATATTTGTGTGAGGATCTAGATATAACCAAGATATAACAGTTTCTGTCACCTGTGCTGCCTCCCTTTATTCACAAACAGAAAATAAGCTGATGGAATTCACTTTTCATGTCTGAATCATTTAATACTTGTGATAGTCCCTTAATTTCTGCCACACTTCACATTCCTCCCTCCCTTGAGTCTAACTGGTTATTAGGTCAAATAGTTCAAGTACAGCACACTTTGTTTTTAATCAGAAATAGTGCTTTGTAGAAGAGATGTTATTAAATTATGACCCAAAGGCACCTAGTATCGTATATGTTTCAGGCAGAAGCTTAAAGCCCCCAATGCACTTCATAGTGCATGATATTGAACCCTGAGAGATTCCTTCTTGACTGGATTGTAATAGCCTCCTGCTTGAAAGCATGAAGAATGAAAGTCATTTCACTCACCTTACAGTGTGTATATGCATTTCTGTATACATGGCTAATCATAAAATGTGCTAAGACCTTTTCCTTCATCACATACCTTCTGCTAAACATCCATCTCCCCACATGCAGGAGCGCTACCGTTACAGCCAGCCCCACAAGGCCTTCACCTTCCGCATGCATGGCTTTGAGTCAGTGGTTGGTCCTGTGAAGGGGGTGTTTGACAAGGAGACCTCACTGAATAAAGCCCGGGAGCATTCTCTTCTGCGATCTGACAGGCCTGCATATGTCACCATCTTGTCTCTTGGTAAAGTGGCAGTGTTGTATACAATACAGCTTTTTTTTTTTTAATCTTCCATAAAAATTGCCTCACGTGAGGCTTTATACAGCTAAATCGTCGGAGGAGGAGAAGAGAAGTAGGTGACATTGGCAAGGAAAAAACATGTTTGAAATGAGCTGAGAAGGAGCTAGAGAGATTCATGGAGGCTGTTCCAGATAGCAGGAGAGAAGACTGTGCAGCCGAGAGCCGTAGAGGAAATGGGGAGCAGAGAAGGAGAGAGATGAGGTCTTTGAGGCTGGTTGGAGCAAACCATGGATGGTTTGGAAATGGGGAGAGGTAACTTTGGACTGGATCCTGATATAATAAAACCCAGGGGAGTTGTTGGGCAATGTGGAATAACATGCTCATACAGCAGTAGTGTATGAGAAGTTGGGTGTCAACATTTTGCACATGCTGGACTCAGGCAGGATGGAAGGGAGGCTGCAGTAGTCGAGGGGAGATGTGGTGTGGAACAGGGAGAGGAGTAGAATCCAAGTTCATTCTTGTTTTATACTCCCATAGATAACATTTTTGACAGTGTTTCTGTTCAGCACTTTTACATCCAATTAAGAAAGGGATATGGGTCTGTTACCGATCAGCCCTTAATTTTTGAAAGTGCCTTCTAGGAGCTGTGGGGATGTGATTCATGCATGAATGTGTTATGGTACTGCCTCTTCATAAAGTGGAGTGTTAAATTTTCTGGCAGAAGGCCTAAAGGCCGTCCACAGCAGAGGCAGAGAAAGCTATGACTCATAGTTGCTCCTTCCCTGTAACCAGAGTTTGAAATTGATCTTTATCAGTTGCAGGCTTCTGTTGAAACAATATGTATGGATTTTAGAGACGTTTTAAGCAGGAGCAAATGCTAATTCTGCAAGTGTTTTGCTTAAACCCTTATAGAACAGTACCTATAGATTAGGAACAGCCCTAAGCTGACCCAGTTGCCTGGGTAGCCCCCCCGTATTGGAAAATTTGGGAGCTGAAGTTGAATGACAGAGCCAGAACTTGCATCCTTGAGTTAGTCCATCTCGAACACAGGCCTGCAGTGGTTGAAGACACTGCATGTTATACTGGAGCTGCCCTTTGCCATCTGTGACAGTGACAGTATCAGTATTGTGGGTTCTGGGAAGGTATCTCTGGGAAACCCCCCTCAGTCAAATAAAGATCCCATGTGGGTGAGGTGAGGAAACCAAATATATAAACTGAAAGGCTTGAAGACAGCTGCCTAGATTTATAGCGCAGGTCTGACTAAGTCTTATTTTCCTGTTACCAGTTCGCGATGCTGCAGCCCGCCTTCCTAATGGAGAAGGAACTCGTGCTGAAATCTGTGAGCTGCTTAAAGATTCCCAGTTCCTGGCTCCCGATGTCACCAGTGCCCAAGTAAGTTGGATGACAATATGCTAGATTGGGATGGTTGCCATTTTTAAGCCTTGGAAACCACCATTCCCTCCTAAAAATCCACTGATGAGGATAGGCAGTATTTGGTGACTAACACAATAAGGGCAAGAAACATCTGGCTCATGGAGTTGGAAATGGGAGCTGTATTCCATTTCACTGGGCTACTACAGCAGTGAGCTTGACATGGCCAAAATACAGCTAGCAGGCCAAATGTGGCCCCCAGGGTTAATACTGCTCTTGGCTACAGAACTGTGGCCCACAGGGACTGAAGTTTCAGCATGTTTCAGGGCTGAAGTTTGTATTCTCTGAAGGCCTGAACCTCCTTGCTCAAATGAGATTCGCTAATCGTTGTTTCCATTTTTATGCCAAATAGGTCGAGCCTTGAAATTCTTGGCCATTGCTGAACTGAGCTATTGGTTGGTTGGGCAAAGTGTAGACACATTAAGTTTACCGTGTGTTCTGTTTTCCAGGTTAATACAGTTGTGAGCGGTGCTTTGGACCGGCTACACTATGAAAAAGATCCCTGTGTGAAATACGATATTGGACGCAAATTGTGGATATATCTACACCGGGACAGGAGCGAAGAGGAGTTTGGTAGGTGCTTATTGTAGAGAGCTGGGTAGCAGCTGGATTGGACTCTGTTTAAAGTCTCCAGATAAAGATTTGAAAGGGTTGGTGTTAGGTTAAGTGTCCTGGCCTGTTGATACAGCTATGGGGCAGCAGTAGCACTGAAAAAGATTTAGGAACCATGGTGGATAGTCAGCTGAACGTGAGCTCCTAGTGTGATGCCCTGACTAGAAGAACTAATGGGATTCTGGGATATGTAAACAGGAAAATCCGAAGTAGGAAGAGAGAGGTGATGTTTACCTCTATATTGGTCACAGGTGTGGACACTGCTGGAATCCTGTGGCCAGTATGGGTGCCCACGATGCAAGAAATGAGGTGATAGTTTGAAGAGGGTTCAAAGGAGAGCCCTGAGAATGATTAAAGGGTTAGAAAATATGGCTGATATCAGTTTAGCTCCTTGAATTTTATCTATAGTGACGGTTTTTATCTACAAAGCGACGGTTATGGGGTGAAAAAACTTTAAAAAACAACAAATAGTCCTGCAGCACTTTAGACACTAACAAAAAAATGTAGATGGTGTCATGAACTTTTGCAGGCACAACCACGAAAGCTCATGATACCATCTACATTTTTTGTTAGTCTCTAAGGTGCTACATGACTATTTGTTTGGGGTTTTTTTTCAGTTAGGGTGCATTTACACTCTAAACTCAAAATAAGATATGCAATTTGTGCTACGCAAATTGCGTATCTTATTTCAATTGTACTTTGAAGTAGCTTATTTTAAAATTTGGCACATCTGCACAGCACCAAACTTTGAAATAATGCACTATTTCAACACATCTGTTAAACCTTGTAGAACGAGAGTTCCCCCATTATTTTGAAACAGCGCATGCCCCCATTATTTTAAAAAGTATTTCGAAATAACAGGCACATTTAAAAGACAGTGGGGGAGCCCCACTGTCTAGACATACAGGCATTCCCCGGGTTACGTACAAGATAGGGACTGTAGGTTTGTTCTTAAGTTGAATCTGTATGTAAGTCGGAACTGGCGTCAGCCGCTGCTGAAACTAATCACTTTCAACCGCGGCTGAATCTGGATGCCAGTTCTGACTTACATACAGATTCAACTTAAGAAACCCAGGCATCCCCAAGTCAGCTGCTGCTGAAACTGATCAGCGGCTGATTCCAGGAAGCCCGGGGCAGAGCAACTCTGCCTTGGGCTTCCTGTAGTCAGGTTGGTCCGGAGCAGCGCTGCGGGACCAACCTGGCAGCCCCCAGCTGCTCTACCCCAGGGGTAGGCAAGAAAAGCCTGTTCTTCTGGGGGGGGAGAGGGGGCACTAGCTGCACCCCCCCCCAGGCGGCCCAGGGAGACGGGGGTGGCGGGACCGCCCAAGTCTTCCATGGCTTTGTTCCGTTTCCCTGGTCTGCTGACCTGGGAGACCTGGAGCAAAGCCGCAGAGCACGCAGGCAGGGGGGCCGGCCCAGCGGGGGGGGGGTTGG